GGAGTAGGTGTAAGCGACTCCCGATGCCATTACCAATAGGACGTCCATGTTAGCCATTCCATGCTTCAAAGATTTGTAGGCACGTGTGTAGAAATGTCTACCACTGATTGCCTACAGCATAGAACAGTCCCATATGCAGAGATTGACCAATTTCATCCAATTATTTGAATAAGTTAAATACTCCCCATTTAAAAACTTTTCTTCAGTCCACATAAACATCACCCTCCCCTCCCCACCGCCCTAAGGAGAGTGAGCATAAAATGTCCCACTTGAATAATGCACCGCGTGAATCCAAGCCTCACCTGAGCTGGAGTAGCTAGAAGCCAGAGAATGAAATTCTCCCAAGAGAGACCAGGCAAGAGCATTGGCTGGAAGTGAGGCTGGGAAGCAGCATTGGAAGTGTTATGCGATCGCGATTGACAGTAGCCACCAAACGGACTATGCGGCCAAATCAGCATGAATAGCATCATAGCAAACATGGTTGGCAAACCGAGAGCCAGATTGGTAAGAAAGACACAACGCCATCTAGAAGAGAGGTAGGAGGAGGAAGAACAGCACAACAATAGAACATGAATTAAGCGACCAAGGAATGAACAGGCATTACCTTTTGGTGTCGTCAAAGTCTTGAGCACTCTTAAATTCCGGCTTGTAGACAGACGCCTCAAAGCCCATATTCTAGAGGCAGAAGAAGAGTATGAAAAATGCTACTTATCAATGGCACTAATTTGATCAGTCAAGGCTAATCACCTCGATAGTCTTCAGGATGGATCGTGCTCCAACAAAACGAGAGTCAAAGACCACCTTTCCACGTTTTGTAGCAAGGGCTACGGCAGCCGAGGTGACACCGGGCAGCTTCTTGAGTGCTGTCTCAATTGAATTCACGCAGGAGCTGCAGGTCATTCCTTGAATCTGGGATGGCAAAACAAAGCATGCCTCTTGATGGAATGATGCGAATGATCGAACGAGGACTACGCCAAGCAGTCGAAAGGTGCCTGAATTTATCAAGCTTGTAATTTAGCAACTCACAGGTCTTTTCTGACACATGTGTTCGCTTTGGGCTGTGTCGGTGCCAGACATTTAGACTAGGTAATAACGAATGCCCACGAAGTATTCATAACAGAAATGTTGTTGACAGTGGACACTAAAACTAGACTCACAGCTCCCCTTCCCTTCGAAGATCAAACAAGACTTTCGGTCCCTTAGAATTCCAGCAACGTGTGAAGCCTCTCAGGGCAACGATAATGATAAGAAGTATAACAGACCATTCTACTAATTCGACCAATTTAGGTGAGAACGAACAAGATAATCTTTAGAATCACTGCGTCCTTACATTGACAAAAATACTACTTTTGAGGGACGATAATTGTGTTTGAGGTAATTGCAGGTGACCAACAAGCACAATGAGTGAATAGTCTGGTCGAGGATTGGGGTACCGTTTGACAAGGTTAAGTGGACGTTTAATGATCTTACTAAGTAGATTCAAGCGTTTTTACTAATCGTTGCATGCAGGACGCCTGTGATAACTCTTTCATAAGCAAGGACTAGTGAGAGTTAGTGTCGTTTGGCCGGTAGTTTCAACAATGCTGCTTATTTGGTGAATTTCACTGATACCTAATCCATTTTCAAGTATCCTCCATTGCTCACTTCTCCACTACCTAACCGACTACGCCGCTTACCCTGGATTTAAGGCAGAGCTAATCGCTGACCTACCTTCAGACATAACAGTCATTACCCAAATTAAGGCTTTTCTATTCAACAAAAGTCGCCGAGTTTCACCTTCCCTCCAGCTGTCTGACCAAACTTTATGAAAAGTAGTCCCGAGTGCTGAAATCTTCCTCCTGTCTTGGTACTCCCTTGACGCTATCTTATTTCGCCTCATCTCAAGTGCATTAGTAAACGATGTGGACTAAGATGACACACACCTACCATCACCCGACATCTCCAGAAACTGGCGAGCAACGCCATTTTAAATGAGCAGAAGGGAGTGGTTGGCTGCCAAAAAGTACCATACGTATCGAGAACCAACGTACTTCCGTCCACTCTCTTTTATGAATGCACATAAACAATCACGTGGACTTTTCGCATTCATCAAGATATTTCAGCCAATCAGATTTCAGCATAAATCTCTACACCTTTTCGATTGGCCGGTGTTGCATCATTATGAGGACTAGGTACTTGAGCCTGAGGAATAAAAAGTTAGGCGGTGGATATAAACCAGTCCAGCAAGAGGGAGAAGAGGATGCCAAGACATGTGAATGCAGAAGAGGGGAGTGTAATGAATTTATCCAAAAGTTTGGATAAATTAATTAAGGTAGAAGGGCATGTTGGGAGAAGTAAGGAAACAAAACGTTCCTCTTGATTGTGTTGTAATGTATTACCGAATCAACTTAAAAAGAAAAAAAGCCCTAATGTGGATCAGAATACAGGAGGAGTTGAGTGACAGACATTTAACAAGCTCTGGTATTGTGCAATACATTTCCGCCCTCCCCTTCAATCCACCCCTGCCCTCCCCTGTCTTAGGGGAACCATGCAGGGTAAAAAATAGTCAGACTTACAGTGACCTCCAGAGTTTGGATGCCTTCATCACCAAGTATTTCAGCAGCCCGTGTCACCTCCAGAACTTGTGCAGAAAATCCCAGATCTTCAATTTGCTTTGTTAGAGTGGAGGGCCGGATGAGTGTTGGATCATAGATAATGTCAGCCTTCATTGACAGCAAACTAACAGAAGCAGATCTCACACCTACGCAACAAAAACATAATAGAGATAAGAGTGATAATTTTCACGTCATTCGTGCCGCCTATTTGTGCATGATACTTTCTCATATGGTGCTAAAAATGATAATGACTCCGAGACGTATTTAAGGCCAATCAATTGATACCCATCCCTTCAATTATAAGATCTTATACGCAAACACCGGAGGAAAGGGTGGAGGTCATAACCCGTATGCTTGGGTGAGAGCTTGACTTGTTCCTTGATTGTGTGGAGAAAAGGAATAAACCTGTGTACCAACAAAGAAAAGACGGAATACATGCGCTAGAATATCCAAAAGAGTCCTCAAAGAAAGACATATCTAGGCAGAGGAATCCAACGCTCAAATCACCACTGCCCTCTAGTCCTCTAAATTCACATTCTCAGAAAGCAGGCTGTTCTATTACCATACACTTAACTTTCTAGAGAGGCTACACCGATCTAATGGGACCGCATAAAAATTGACGTCGTTAATACCGACAAACCGGAATCACATGCTCTAACACGTAACCGACAGTTCGTGAAGGATATGCAGGTTTGAGGACGGGAGGTAAGACCTGCTCAACATCTTTTGTTCACCAGATGGAAGAGAGCGTAAGAGAAGTGTTAACGAAGGGCAAAAAAATGGATGAATGCGTTAATTATTCTTTTCTGTGTACTCTCTGATGCCTTCACAGATTAAGCTTTGAGTAAATGTGATAGTACTTTGAAAGGCA